TAGCAAAAAGGCTGGCACCGCTTATTTCCCCCTTGGTGTGAAAAAGCACCAGCGTGTGATTCTCGAAGTCACAGGCCAGGTCTACGCTACAGAAAAATCCACACACCACGAGCGACAGTGGGAAGGCTTCTCCCGTTGACATAGGGCTGGTCCCCACTTAGTCCGGACTTCGGACTAAGGTACGCAAATTCAGCTACGTTAATAACGTAGCTGAATTCGAAGTACCTTAGTCCGGACTTACCGGGGTCCAGACGCGGCCGGAAGTCTCCCCCCGTCGACGCCGTGTACTCCTCTCGGAGGCTTGGTCTACACTACCCCCCCTAATTCGAACTAAGGGACGCAACTTCAGCTACGGGAACAACGTAGCTGAAGTTCGAAGTACCTTATTTCGAATTAGGGGGGGTAGTGTAGACCAAGCCTCCGAGAGGAGTACACGGCGTCGACGGGGGGAGACTTCCGGCCGCGTCTGGACCCCGGTAAGTCCGGACTAAGGTACTTCGAATTCAGCTACGTTATTAACGTAGCTGAATTTGCGTACCTTAGTCCGAAGTCCGGACTAAGTGGGGACCAGCCCTATGTCAACGGGAGAAGCCTTCCCACTGTCGCTCGTGGTGTGTGGATTTTTCTGTAGCGTAGACCTGGCCTGTGACTTCGAGAATCACACGCTGGTGCTTTTTCACACCAAGGGGGAAATAAGCGGTGCCAGCCTTTTTGCTAGTGCTTCACCTCTGTCGACTCCGAGGTGCTGGCATCTGCATGAAGGGGTGGCGTAGGCAGGCTTCCAACCCCTGCCTGCCTGTAGTGCATACGGGAGAGTGGGGAATCACCGTAGTCCCCTCTCTGGGAAAGCAAGAGACCTTATGATTGAACCCTAAAAAAGAGCCAGAGGCTCAGTTCATTCCTGTTTTGCACCTAGTGCAGCCATTTATATCTGTGCAAAGTGGGTGTAAAATGCGACCATTCCAGTACAAGAGTGTTTTACGCCTACTACGCACTCACTTCGCACAGCTGAAAATGACTATTCCAGGAGCAAGGCAGCAGAGAATGGTCCATTCTCCTCTGATCAGAAGTCAAGATTTGATTTCGTTAGAGAGTGTGCTCTTTCTTCTATACCCCGATTATATTCTGCCACCCGCACAAGTAAGTCCTCTGGTAGATTTTTGAATTAAGCACATTAAGATTAGAAAATTTATGTCATACACAAGGAGACTGACTATTTTTTTCAAGAGGTCTCAAAATGAAATTCTTCACTGGCAGTTTGATCACTGTGGTTTTATACCACCTCATCAGAGTAACTTGCCTCGACTTGAGCCCTGATAACATTATACAAAGTTTCTACTCCAGGGTTAAAAGTTTCATTTGACACTAGGGTGTTGTTTCCAAAAATTCCCACCAACGTGGTCTGAATTTGTTTTTATAAAGCAGCCTTAAAATGTACCATCTCTACGATACATAATACTGCATGTGTTTAAAATCCGGACTGTGCATTCTTTGTCCACCCAAACCTCTGACAAATAACTCTGTGTGTTGCACCTAGCCCACAAAATTGATTTTGAACAGTCTGCCAAGTCCATGGAGAGAGACTCACACGGGGATTTGGATCAGGCCCTGTAGTAGCAGCAGCTAAACTTGAATCAATGGATCAAAAGCAGAATAAAATGTCTGAGTTTCTGACAAAAAAAGTTGCTATACTTGGAGATGATTAAATATGCAAAACCTTGCCTAATTAATTCCTCTAGGAGCAAAACATACCCTACACATGTCATTTCTTTTTAGTTGGATAAAATCCTAATAATCTTTCATATTCTGTCAATTTGCACAATTTGTCCATGAAATAACGCTGCAATTAAAATAAAGTGACATTTGTCTTTATAGCACTTCATCCGCCATCCCAGCGTTCCCATTCACAGCTCAGTCCACCTCCAACTTTCACCATATGGTATCATATGTTTACTTCTTCCAAATCTATCCTGTGGAGTACTTGGAGTTCCGAACTTTACTGTAAGCTCAGCATTGGTATAGATAATAGTCTACAGAAGTGCAACTAGAAAATATCAAATGACTGTAACTAACTTGGTCCTGGTGACTGCAAAAAAATTGTTACTCAAGCAAAGGTAAAGTGCATGTGTGCAGACGTACTTACCGACCGGTGAAAGGCTCTGGGATGGGTGTGATACAAGGTCAGCACTCACTGAAGCAGGAACGTTCTTTGCTGCTGCCGTGTGCTCCTGCACTCCTTATCTAGGGAGCAGCAGTGGCTGTTGCTATGGTAATACTTTGTTTCAAGAGTACTCTGGGGAGGAAAAAAAAGAATAACCTTTAGCCTGTGCACTTAACAGATTTTTGATGATGTGATGGTTGCAGCTTTTTTTTTTTTTAATGGAATGAAGGAAAAAAATAAATTCTACAGAAATTAAAAAAAAAAAACTTTTAAGGTTAAACAACCTTTTATACCAGAGATCAAAGGAAATGATCCACACATTTTGATGGTGGAATGAAAGGAATTAAACAGGGGATGGTAAATCTTAAAGTGTACCAACTGGAGATAAAAATCAGCTATGGCAAGAGTCAATTAGGATGCAGACAAGAGAGCGCTAGACTGTTTTTTGCTGTATACAGAGCTGTGCAGTGGATGAAAAAGGTGCAAGGAGGCAGGCCCATAAACATTAAGGTTTAGCTGAGGACTGCGGTGTTTGTGTGTGTATATGGCCTTGACTCATTACACAAGTTTGACACACTGATGTCATTTAGGGGGTCAGGCAGGGAATCTTCTGTGGCTGCTGTATACTTGCCAGCAGTGCCCAGTCTCTGCTATTTTAGCCCATTGCTTTAGATGGGACTGTTGTTTGGAAGGAGGAAAAATATATAAACATGTCTGATCTTTGCAAAATCAAGACAAAGCACTCTGCTCAGTTGACGGTATTATGAATCGCACCCTTTTTAGCATTCATCCCCATATGAAAAAGTCTTCTCCTAGCGCCTTTCATTAAAACATTCTATAAAACTGTGACTGCTGACAGTTGGTTTGTCACACTCGGACTGCCATTCCCATGCTGTCACTATGGCATTGCAACATATGGTTTAAATTAGTCTTGTTTTCTTTCATACAATAGAAGGGGAGTGTGCCAAGGGACCAAACATATTCGGTGCTAGCTCCCAGTCCTGGGATTTGCTGAGCGCCCTCGTCGTCTGTGAAATTCAAGTCCAGTCCCGCAAGGAATGAGATTTCCTAGTGACTTCACTGGCTGAGATGGGCATTTATCCCAGGATGACGCAGGGTGAAAAATTTCAAAAGTGCCTAAGTGACTTAGGATCCCAAGTCCCATTTTTCAGAAGTGGGTTAGGCACTCGGGATCTTAAGTCTCACTGAAAGTTAATGGGACTTAAATGCCCAAGTCATTTCTGAAAATGGGACTTAAATTCTGAAGTAGAGCTTGTTGGGGATTTCTCAACTAAACATTTTTTGTCAAAAAATGTCAATTGGTCCAATCCAAAACTGTGTGCAGAAAGGGGTCCGTTTTGATGAATTTCCCATTTCAAATAAAAAAAAAGTTTCAAAATTTTTGAAACATCCTATTTGGACCTTTTCTGAATGAAAACAATTTCTATTTTTCATGTCAGAATGACATCATTTAAGTAAATTTATAGTTGTGTGTGTTTTAAAGGGCATAATTAAAATGAAACATTTTAATTGACCTGAAGTGACATTTTTATGGATTTTAGATTTTTTTCAAGATTTCAACTTTTTGTCTCAATTCAGGACAGGAAAATATTTGGAAAATCACAGCAATTCTTCCTGCCCAGGTCTGTGCCTAATTCATGTACATGCTTTTGAAAATGTTATCCAAAGCCCTTAACCAAGAGTTGTGGGTGCAAGAGTGGGAAAAGCCTATCAGCTTACTCACATTTGGTTAGAGCCTCAACTGGTGTAAATTGGCAGAGATGACATTACACCTGCTGAGAATCTGGCCTATTGTCTACCATAGAACTTTTACATGAGCAGAGTGTGATGGTTGATATCATGCGGTTATGATGAAAGTATTATGAAACTGTTGTACCATAAATGCCCCTCTGCATGTGTAGCCACCCTGAACAGACATGGCTTGTGACACGTCTCTGCCAGATAAAGTCAATTGTGAAGGACTATCAGCACATGAGTAAGTCTTATCTGGGGAGACCAAACGAGTAACTGCATCTTAGGGGAAACTAGTTTTACTTGACCTCTCTGAGGAGAGGGGGAAAGCAGAGAGCAGAAATTTACCAGGAACAGAACAAAAGCTGCTAGGTGACAAATTATGGGTTTAAATAAGGATTCATAGGGCGCAAGAAGAGAGATATTCAGAGAAAGTGCGGGAAGGAAGAAGGAAGGACATAGATCAACCAAGAAGAATAGGGCAGGTGAGCTGTGGGAGGAGACTGTAGGTTTTGGAACTCAAGGCAAACTCTGCAGCAGAAGGACCTGGACGGCCCCAGAGGACACCTACCCCTGCCCAAAAAATGCCCTGCAGTAGTGAGGAAATGAAGATGGGGAAATGTGTGTAGAATTGATTATTTTTTTTATAGATCATGTGATTAAGTAAAGAGCAACAGCATGGTAGAATTCTATGCAGAGTGTCTGTGTGTGGTATATGCTACACCTACCATGTCACCCCTTGAAGAAGAAAACCAGAAAGCTCATATCTTTGATGGGATTCCCAGAGAGGGTGCATTCAAGCTAACAGGGAGTCTTGGTTCCAGGGCTTGAGCAGGGGAACATGAGATTTCAGCTCTCAGGAGGGAGTGATAGACAATGGATCAAGGATGTGCCTAGGGACCCCAAGACTGGGACAATGCCTGTACAGACTCTGGAGGCTTCAGATATTCAGGGATCCAGAGGCTGGAGATACCACTTCAGCAATCTGGTGGGCTGCCCGCATGGGGATCTTGACCGGATCAGTGGCACAGTGGGAGCAGGATTTGGCACCCCCCAGATGCTACTCTCTTCAGTGCCTCCATGTTTCTTGTTACCTGCTGTGGAGAGCCATAAAGAGATTGAGACTCCTTCCAGTTCTGGAGAACTGTCTGATTGATTATTCTACAGGGAAAGATGGCCTGATAAATTTGCTGAATAAATGGTAAATCTGACCCTCCCCTTAATTAGCATGTGGACACTCCCATTGATGTCTGTGGAACTACTCATGGGCTTAAAGTTAAGCAGGTGCTTAACTATTTGCAATCGTGAGGCCTAAAAAGACAAGCACCTATGAGGGAAAAGGGAGTATGTAATAAACATTTATAATATATTTGCTATTTGATTTTGACTTGACTTGTAATTAAGGGGGAGATTTTCTAAGGCATACAGGGTCGTTAGGATTCTCACTCCCATTTACTTTCAAAGGGGATTGAGCACCTACCTGCTCTTTGTCCTTTTAAAATCTCCTCCTTTACAAAAAAAATTGACTACCTGCAACAGCCCCCAAAGCCAAACAACAATACATTGGCTGATTTATTGAAGGCATCCTGGTGCCAATGGAAGTGCTTGTCGTCTTCATAGTAGATAGATATTCTGGTTTTGTAATGTAAATTCACCTATCCCTTGAAAGTGCTGTCATATGTAAGGAATGGCCTGTTAATATATTGCCATTGACAGCAATTTGTAAAAAATTTTCTGACTATAACTTTGTTTGCAGTGAACTCATTTTGCTCATTTTGAATCTGCTCCAGCCAGGGCCAGATTCTGATCTCATTTACACCTGTAAGTTAAATCCAGCATAACTCCTCTGAAGCC